TAACTTCTTTCAATTGCTTCCTAAGTTCACGTAATTCTTGTTGCATTTCAGCCATTTTTGCTAAATATATGCGAAAATAAAATTGATGTATCAAGTTAGTAAATAATTATTTAAAAAATATATTCTTGTATCAAAGTACCTTGAAGTTTTGGTTTGATACTCAATATTTGTTCTGCGTCAGCTCTCATTTTATCAGTTTCACGGATTCTCTCCCTATCTTCTTGACGTTTATTCTCCAGTATTTTAAGTTTCATTCTAAGCTCGTCATACTCTTTTTGAGAAACAGTCTGATGATAGAATAGACTCATATAAATATTTATGAAACACTATGGAATGTGGAATGCTTTTTAAGAAAAAAAAAAAAAATAAGATATACCCCTTGTTCTCGTGCTTCCTGTAAAGAAAATGGATCTGGAGCATTAGCAGTTTCATGCCTTGGGGTTTCTAAATATTTTGGCGTATCACTTTTGGGTGCTGAAGTTCCAGGTTCATATTCATCAATATTTTCATCATCACCATAATCCTCGTTTATATCTTGGTTATTGAAATATACTGAGTCAAAATCAAGCTTTTTTTGATCTGGGTTGCTGGCATCAGAATATCCACGTGGTCTTCTTTGAAATGTGGGACTGTTTGGTCCGCGTCCAAATTGACCTGGTCCCCTTGATAACCTATTAATATTGGGTATCCCAGAAACACTATTTCTATTCGATGGAAAAATCATTGAAGTAGGACGCTGTCTTAAAGGAGCACCATCAGTTGAATTCGGTGGCGCAAAACTTGTTGGTGTTGACTAATTAAATAAAAATATAAAGAAATATGGAATTAAGTTTTAATTACAGTAATTCGACTTAACGCCACAAATTTTTTATGTAACCCTTACCGGATTTCGAGGCTGAGGAATTGAATTAGATGGAATTGAGGAGCTAGGTGGTATCTTTACTTGTGAAGGTCTAACAAAAACTCCATGATTTGGTTTACAATCAAAGTAATGTTTGCTATTAACAGAACCGTTGTTCTTTCCTGATGGATCATCTAGCTCAACACCGACCCATTTACCAGGTGCAAAGTCGGTAATGCCCACAAAACGAATTGTTCCCGTTTTTCCTGCTATCTCACATCTTGCATCGACCACTATATCTGACGATGTTGTCGTTGCCATATCTACGTTAAAAAATTGAACTAAAATTAAAAGTTATATGTAATTATTTACAGTGTAAAATTATAGATAAATATCACCATGTGACAATCAAATGCGAAAACTGAATATGGAAACGACTCCTGAATGTTACAAAATTTATCGTTATCGCCCATCAATGTGTAAATCGCTTATACGTATATATACTTAAATCTCTGTGTACGTAGCTTAATTGAGTATGCATCTTTTTTTCATTATTTAGATGTTTTTTGTCTTAATAGAAAAATGAACGAAATTGTCACATACTCGGGTAACATAATGATATCATGTGATTTTGTGATATGAATTTTGATCCAAGCACAAAATTCTGGTGTAATTTTTATAGGGATGGGCAAGGTAATAATACAGTCTAGGATTATACGCGATATGGAAATGATCTGCAAATATATTAGAAGTGT